ACTAGTTGTTATTGATCACTGCAGAACAATAATATTATCTTTCTATCTCGTCTTAATAAGAGTGGCTATTATATTAGTTCTTGTCCAAAACACCACTGCATGTGCATGCATCGTTTTGACTTTTTCAAAAGCGTATTTTTTATTTAATTATTTGTTTTTCCGTGCCATAATTAATAAAATAAATAAATTATTAAAGTTTAGAATAACAGCTTATAACAATCTGAAAGTTTTTTTCCAAAATCTAGATTTTTTACATTAATTATGATATATAAATATGGCTATAATCTATTTTATTTTATTAATAATTATTATTTACAGATTCTAATATTGTTATCACCCACGGTACGTTACATTTATTTATTTATATTATGTAATAAGTGGGTATATCATAAGGTTATAACTTATATTGCATGGAACTTATCTTATAAGTTTTAAGATTCTCACCATACCACTAATATAATTTAAAAATGTTTGTGATTCTGATAAAGTTTATACCAATTTGAACTTCAAACCTTTCTAAAAAAATTATGATATTATATATCATCGATATTTTTTACTCAAAATGATTAATTTTTGATCTCAAAACTCAAAATAATTTGCTAATTTTTGTGATTTTTCCGTATTTTGTTAAGATTTGAACTTTAAATGATTATAAAAAGAAACTGTGATCAAGGATTTTTAATATTTTTCAAATGTCATTGTAACAATATAGTAGGAGCTTTTTATTAAATTTTCTAGCTATTTTGCCCAACAAATAAAGTTTTATTGACATTCATAAAAAAAGACTAATAAAATTAGAAACTGGAAATTTTCCTAAACAGTTCAAAACAAATTAAAATATTTTGAAAATTTTTTCGTCTATAAAATACAAATAAAATATAAATGACCAGTGAAATGCGAAAATGTCATGTATATACGTTCATTTTTATTAGAGTTACACCAAAAACCAAAATCGATTTTATGGAAAACCGATTTTGCGTAAAAATTCCCATTTTTCCTTAATTTTTATGTTATTTTTCCCTGCCCTTTTGAAAACTATTGGGAATATTAAAATTTGACTTCCCGAATGCACTAACTATATTCACGTTAAAATCGAACAAGATCCTGTTGAAGAAAATCAAAGCAGTTTTTCTACCCAAAACCGTGATGACATATACAAAAAAAAATTTTTAAAAAAAAAACACATCACCGTTCCACTCAGAATCTAAAAAAAAGCTCATCAGGATTAAGGAACGATAGGTCTACTCGTCCGCAAGAAATAAACCCATTTATTTTAAGCTATGTATTTATTTTTTTATAGATGTCGTGGACAGTAAGTATTTATGAGTTTTATAATTTGTCTTATTCAAGGAAGTAGGTAAAAAAATGAATATCAATGGAATCAATAATTTAAACTTATGACTAGTTATAAGTTACAAATGAAGTAAAATTAACGTCGGTTCATTTCATTACAAAATCTTAAGAATGTCTAGTACAAAAATTTGGATAGAAGTGTTTTGGAGTGGCATGGCTAAGATATCGTTTAGTTCAAATCTAGATATTGCATTAAAATAAATTATATTTATATTTACAATACTAGAATTTTCTATATTAAGTCATTAGATAGGTACATGATAAGAAGTAAGAACCATTTTGTTAATAAGTTATAATTACCATAATAATTTGCAAATTGATCGTACTATGATTGTTTTGGAGAATAGTGGACTGTATAGGAAATAAACTTATTCTACTTAGAAAACTGGTAAAAAATCAATGAACACGGCGCTGTTACATTTGATTGCCGGATTGACGGCCTACTATTTAGAATAATACAAAATATTGATATGTTATCGGGAGGCACAACAGGTGATGGCCAGCTGATGGGTAAAAAATAATACTATTGGGTCTTAACAAGAACAGAATAATAACCAAACAATTTAATACTGCATAATAATTGACAATAAAGGAAATAATAAATCATAAAAACCAGGTAATCCGTGGTCAGGCGGTGAGGTGGTACGGTGTGGTGGGTGGTCGCTGCAAAAACTGAAGGTGGTAAATACAATCAACGGTAGTTGGCGTTGGTAACGGCACACAACGATGGTATAAACAAAACGGTGTTGGTGGTAAACAAAAACGAACAAAATGACTACCCAGGTCCGTCTGTTATTGCGACTCTCGAACTACAGCGCATAAAATGTCCAGCACATCTGCACGCGCAATCCCAGCGATAAGGAATGGTGGGAGGTGATTAGGGGTGTACGGTGTATGGTGTACATACCAACGGCGATAAACGGCGATTACAGAATAATTGTCCCAACATTGATAGTTCAATACTTCAATAATATCCATCCCAATAAAATCATAATCATATATATTTGTAGAAAGTAGTTATAAATTTTAAATTTTCATTATGTTAACAACTAAATAAAGTGGGACAATGAGTAAATGTGAATGAAAGAATATAAAATGAGGCGGTGAGAAAATACATTTGAAATTCCTACGAACTTAAATGTCTACAGTTTATTTTTCAAATGTTTAATAATAATTGTTAAGCCTATTAATATAAAAATTAACCGAGCATACATCTATTTGTATTTCTTATTTCTTATTTAGCATATTTACAAGGTACGTAATTTTGTATTTTTTTATTGTATTGCGAATTGGAGTAATAAAATATAACTTTAAGCGATACATCACAATATAATACATTTAATATTAATTATTGTTATTTTCACTATTGTCATCCAAATTATAATAAAACAGGATAATTTTTAAAATAATATGTACGCCTATTACCTAATGTTATTAGTGTTATTACTTATTATTACTTATATTTTGTACACCCGGTTGTATTTAAATAAAGAAACAAATAAATGAAGACTATCAATATCACTAACTATAATATTAATTATTCAATTTAAAATAAAAATCCTACTATTGAAAATGTTGAACTAAGTATTTTAGACTTATATAATTATAATTAATTAATTATTAATGTAATCTTTTGTAGCTATAATTAGTACGTATATTTTTGTTTTTCAATTTATTTTAATAAAGTGTATTATTTTATTCTATGAGAGATTTCAAGATTATAGGTATATTCTAATTTCTAATATGTATTATTAACTATTACGCCCTTTATAGCTTCAATGCCTATTTACGGATAAAAATAGACATTTTAAATGGAAAACATTACAAACATGTTGTTCGTAAGGTCGTAATTTAAGTATAAAAATTTAATTTTCAAAAATGTCATGTTAAATAATATATGACATTCAATCGCTGTTATTCATAATGTTTCCATATAAGAATAGAAAAGATGGATTCCATAAACCAAAAATTAAAATGTGAAGCACACAAAATAATAAGGGTATTTTTAAATACACACACAGTCAATATTTTTAAATTTTAATACACGGATATCTGAATTCATACATTTTCATTAACTTTAGAGTAACCAAAGGTCATTTATCACATTTAATAGAACCATATATTTCATATTGCAAATAATTTTATTATTAATATCCTTGAAATATTATATATTTTTTACAGATAATATTAGTAAGTATATTTTATGTTTATTTCCATATTTTTACTTTCCCTTCTCCTGGAATGACCAGAGGACAAATCAATAGTTGATGCATTCAGAAACTATTCTTGATAAGTTGAATGTGTTGATTTACCATTTAACACAGTTCAACGATATTGTGAACTTTAAAATTCAACAGGCATTTAATTCATAGAAAAATAATATGTTCATTCAATCTTTTTCCATTTGACAATTATTGTAATGTTTTTGGCAAGAATGTCTTGAGTCTTTCACTCCACATTGGTTGTGGTGCTATATAGTCTATAGCTTGTATTACTCTTTGAATATGATGGGATTGCACTTAACGTTAATCTCAGACATGGCTAAAATTACATTTTTAATTTTTAAAATTCACGAAATAAATATTTACTTCAGTTGTCTATAGTTTTTCAGTTGTTCTATATAATTATAAAATATGCATGTCTTATGTGAATGTCTTTCTAAAGAAAAGTCATTTTTATTGTTCCATACATAACTCGCTTTAAAATTAAATTATAATAAAAAAAAAATATGTCATTGTCTAGATAATAATCTTAGAATTAATTTTTATAAGAGGTCAATTCGTTCTAATTTTTAAACTAACGGGAGATAAACTTGTTTTCCTGAGCTTAAAATTTGCTGTTACGCACTTGTCACTTTAACGTGACGTAATAAGAGTGGCTATTGGACTTTTCTTCAAAAATCTAGATTTTTTACATTAATTATGAATCATGAAATATAAATATTAATATGTATTTTATTATTTATTATTATTTACAGGAGATCATAGTACGTTTTATTTATTTATTTTTAATATGGAATAGGTATAGGGCATATAGGTATACATAATAAAGGGGTCTAGGAATTTTCGGCGCTGCCATTTCGGTGATAGATATTTTCGGCGCTGCTGTTTCGACGATTTTATAATGAAAATTATTTTTAGTATAAAAAAAATTATAAATTGCACTATAAAAATGCATTTAAATTATTTTTATTAGAATGATAATAATTAAAATAATATAATATAACTTATATAGTCAAATATTTAGATATAAAATAATACAGATTAAAAAATGTTGTAGGTACCTACATTAGTAAAAAATAATAATATAATAATAATAATATAGTCAATTAATGTTAATTAATGTTTATACAATTATAGTCAACATTTTATTTCAACGCTATATTATTTGATATTCCCCTGATAAAAGTTGGAATGTCTTTTTTATCGTATCTATCAACTAGCTGATAAATACGATTGTCTGTGTCTCTAAACTTTTTTTACTTTTTCCGTGGACTATTACCCGTCTATCGGCCCTATATTTATTTATGCTGAATATGTATAGGCATATCTTATATAATATATTGTTATGTTTATTTATTTTTATATAAATATATTTTTAGGTACTTACTTTTGCTGACTGTGTTAATCCGTTAACACATTCATTTATTATAGTAGAATTGTCTCCATCGTTTTAATTGCCCGTCTTTTCATTTTAGTGACTACAATTTCAGCTTCGATTTCTATAGATTCAGAATCGTGGGTGTGTTCTTTTGTAGGAAGTTTGATAATCTCTAAATTATCTAATGAAGTATGCACCCTTGCTGGACAAATATCTTTTCTTCGACATCTCCAAAATTTAACTTGACCATTCGCACTTAACTTATCGAAAATGTACATATGACCATCGTGTCTTAAAATTTCACAATTACTTTTTGATTCAATCAATGCCATTTTCACTGCACGTCGCACGACACAACACTACACACTGTTATACACTTCACACATCAGTGTTAAAATTTATTTTATCATATCTAGGCCTTTCCGATCAAATTATAGATTATCATTTATTATTATTTTTATTACACCATACATATATACATAGGTACAAGTTATCTTCGATAACAATTTTATCATAGCTAGTAACCAATTAGTACTGTTAGGTGGGTACCTATAATGTCACTGTAATAAATTGTATTATCTCGATTGTCACGACCCGCGATAGCATTTATTCGCCTGGCGATCGTAACGACAATAATGTGTTTGCCGATCAGTTGTCATTCGTAGTCTCTCGAACGTTGTAGGTACTACCGTCCACCGAAGATCATTATTGTGTATAATATAATAAAACACTAACCAATTTAAAATAAAAGTATACAGTCCACTTTAAGTATCAAACAAGTAAGTCCAGAACTAAACAACTAATAAATACTATAATAACAATACTATAAAAATAAAATATAAAATGTTTTCCCAATTTTTTAGTTATAATAAAAATAATTTAAATGCATTTAGTGCAATTTTTAATTTTTTTTATACTAAAAATAATTTTCATTATAATCATAGACCTTATACTAACGTCTTAGTATAAGGTCTATGATCATAATATGTATTTTGTCATTATCGCCGTCCGCCGAAATGGCAGCGCCGAAAAGTCCCATTCCCATAATAAAGTTATTTTACATGGAACTTGTCTTTTAAATTTTAAAATTGAGACCAGAACTATGGTATATTTTAAAAGTATTTATCATTAAGATTAAGTTTTTAATTAACCAGCAATATTAACTGTTACCGGTTTTTTCTACAGTATATGGCTTATCTGTATATTATAAAATCAATGCTAATAACAGTAATAACATACAAATAATTAATATACACTATAGTTATTATCACCTCGACAAACGAATGACGTGTAAACACCCTATATACCAAGTTTTAACAGTTTTTACAGTAGGTACCTACTTCAGAAGAGTTTCCTAAAATAATAAATAGGTACCTACTGAATATGTAAATTGTAGAAATTACTGATGAAAACTAAAATAAAAACAATGCAAAATAAAACATTATAACACCAACTAAGTTTTCAAACAGAAAAACCCATATTATGTACAAAACAAACATAAAAATGGTGCTCTGCTGTACAGTAGGTTACAAGTGGGTCACTTTATAATGGATAGTATTAAATTTGAATTCAATGATATAATATCATTGTATAAGAAAAACGATTCTGAGCGGAGACGGTATGTCAGTCTAGGTATAAGACATATTATATACTTATATATCGTCTTAAAAAAAATTTACCTAAAATAGGTAGTAGGTACCTATAATAAATTCCAAATTAATCATATCACAATATCCATTTGGTACTTATAATGCGTTATACGTCAACAACAAACCCTGATACTATCATAGTCAATACTCCATAAATATATAATAGTGTACTTTAGAAGTTTCAAGTACCCACGAAAAATATTACACAATCACAACAAAATAACTAAAATAGTTATTCTAGGTTTTTTTTTATGTAATTTTGTTCAAAGTTAAACTTAAAATGACTATAAAAATAAACTGTAATTATGTATTTCTTAGATTTTTTGGTAACAGAATGAACTACTTACGTGGAATCTTATTTTAAATTTTCAATCCTTAGATATAAAAGTTGAACATTTTATACCTTTTTAACTACAAAATAATTATTCAATTCTAAATTTGATAAATGTTGTCAAAATTCGATCTTTAAATGTTAATAAAAAAAAATTGTTCCTATGTTTTTTTAATATTTTTCAACTGACGTTGTAAAAATATATCAGGAGCCTTGTATTAAATTTTTACACTTTTTGGCCCAACAGATAAAACTTTATTGATATTAATAGAAGAAAAAACTAAAAAAATTGGAAACTGAAAATGTCCGTTAACAGCTCAAAAAGAGTCAAAATATTTTCAAAATTGTATGGTGTATAGGAAATGCTAATATAAATATTCAGTGAAATTTCCATGTATCTATAGTTATTCTTTTTTGAATTACAACAAAATAAGGAAATTGTGACATGAGAAATCGAGTGAATATCCAATGTTGTAAAAATTTGAATTTCAAACGATCATAAAAATTTAATTTGACTTTCTTATAGACATTTTTTTTGATAAAGGTAGATAATCCTATAAGGAATCTTGTATTACATTTTAAAATCTTAGATTTAAAAAGAAAAAATTTTATGAATTCTTAACTCAAAATAATTTGCTATTTTTCGTGATTTTTCCATATTTTGTCAGTTTTTTTTCCTTAATTTTTGTTTTTCACGCCGCTTTTGAAAACTACTGGGAAATTTTCACTTTTGACCCCCCAAAGTACCAACTATATTCACTTTAATATAAAAAAAAAGGCTACTGTTGAAGAAAATCCTAACTGTCCTAAAACGTGATGACAGACACAAAATATAATTAAAAAAATAAATAAAAAAAAACACACATCATTGTAAAATCAATACATTCATCGTTCCACTCAGAATCTAAAATGATAGGGCCACTATATAAATGAACGTATTTATTGTAAGCTATGTATTAAATGTTTTTATAGGCTATTACGATGGTAAGTAATTATGAGTTTTATAAGTTTTCTTACTGAAGAAAGTAGGAAGGTACAAAAATGGATATGAATGGTATCAACAATTTAAACTCTGAACTTACTCTTAACATATTATAAGTTACGAAAAAAGTAAATTTATCGTTGGTCCATTTCATTACAAAATTATTATAACTCTTTACAAAAATTTGGAACTAAGTGTTTTGGAGAGCCTTAGCTAAGATATAGTTTAATTATTCTATTTCAAATCTAGATATTGTACTAAAATAAATTACATTTATGTTTATAATACTAGAATCTTCTATATTAAGCCACTAGATATCCATGATACGGTCCGTCTATTCCCGACGTCCCGTGATCGTAAATAATTGCACACGTGTCTATATAAGTACAATTTCGTTTATTTATTGAGAGATGTATTATTTTATATATATTTAACGGAAGTGAGTTAATTTCCGGGCCGAGCGACTGGCTTAAAGAAGCGAGCCACAACGGGCGGTATCGGACCTGCAGAGGTGCGACTTAGCATACAAATGTCGGGGATTTATAACTTAATATAAGAATAATTATATAATAATGAATGGGTGAGTTGGAATCGCTCTCCCACGGTCTTTAATAAGTCGTGTTCGATTGATACCGCCTTATAGTGATGCCTTAGCAGGCACACTGAGGGTGGGTGGTTAGATTGGTGGTTCTGATAAGAACCGTTTTTGATTGGTCGCGATGATAGATCGACCGTGGACGCGTTAGTGACGCTGATGATGGTATGCGTGTTCGCCGAAACTATTATGTCGCTGTTATGTCGACGCCGGAGTAATCAGGAACTGTATGCCCGTCGGTTGCCGCCTCGTATGACGAGTGTCTTCGCCGCGGTGCGTATGATTCCGTCCGCGGCGTGAACGGGAATGCGCCGCTCGTCGGTTGCCGCGTCGTACAATAAGTGCTTCGCCGCTACGGTGATGATGATGCCGTGGTGTATTACGGATACGTTGTGCTCGTCGATTGCTGCACCGTACTACGAGTGTATTCGTCGCTGCGTCGATGGTTTCGTTCGTAACGGTGGTCAGGAACGCAGCGCTCGTCGGTTGCCGCCTCGGGTGTTGAGTATATTCGCCGCCGTATCGGTGTAATTTGAAGTTTCAACTGGATCGCTGTGCTGGATGGTCTTCGGGTCTTCGTTTCTTCGTTTTGGTTGTAGGTTTGAAGGTATGAAGAGGTATTGAAGACTGTGTCGATGGCTTTGCTTTGCTTTGGGGGGATGGCTAAGCCGTGAAAACTATACCAGGCTTTTGCCTCTACTAGTGGATGGATGTTTAGGAAGGTGGTTTTAAATTTGTTGGTCAACCCATGTCAAAGGGTAGGGTTTGATTCTACACTTTGTGGTTGGTGGGGTGTGAGATTTCCCTAAGAGTCGGATGTGGGCATGAGTAGAGAAAGAGTTTTTGTAGAACATCGATTTGGATTGGCTATGAATAGAATTTTTGATAGACTTGAAATTTGCTGATTTTAGAAGGACCGAATTTTTAACGATAGTGGGCATACCCGTTATCGTGCTAATGCCGATGTTTTGGACAGATTCGATACGTCTCCAATGTGAGGAACCGACAAAGGGTGCCCAAGAGGGGCCAGCATAAGAAAGAATTGGAGAGACGTAGAGTTTTAGAATATTGAGTTTTGAAGATTTTGGAACGGGGCTAGAACGGTTGAGAATGGGGTAAAGAATTCCGCGAACGCGAGTGGCTTTTTTGGTGATGTCTTGAACGTGTTTGTCGAAGGTGAGTTTGCGCCCTATTGTAACGCCTAGGTATTTGGCATGATTGGACCAAGTCACTGGATGGTTGTCGAGTAGTAGTGGTGGGATGTGAGTAGTATTGGAACGTCCGAAAAGAATACCTACTGTTTTGGTAGGGTTTATTTTGATTTTCCAGCGATAAAACCCTGTGGTAGCTAGGTTGAGTTGGTGTTGTAATTGTATGGCTGCTCGTTTCAGGTTTTTGTCGAAGGTAAAGAACATAGTGTCGTCAGCGAATAGTGAGAGATGTGCTTTAGGAGTTGTTGGTATGTCGTTTATGTCAAGTAGAGAGTAGGTGAAAGGCAGGATCCTTGAGGGACGCCTGCGAGTATATGTCTGGTGGACGAGAATAAGTCATCGATTTTTGTGACGAAGGTGCGGTCAGTGAGAAAGGATTCGATGATTTTAACGATTTCAGTCGAGATGTTGAGTTGGGACAGTTTGTAGAGGAGACCGAAGTGCCAGACCCGGTCGAAGGCTTTTTCCACGTCAAGGAAAATGGAGGCGGTGTTAACGTTGTCGTTAAAGTTCTGACTAAGTTGGTGAGTAAGTTTGGTCAGTTGTAGAGTGGTAGAGTGTTCAGGTCTGAAGGCAAATTGTTCTGGGCGGATTTTGTCTCGAAGATTGGTTTGAAGGTGAGAGAGGATGATTCGTTCGTAAATTTTTGATATGGAGGAGAGTAGAGCGATAGGTCGGTAATTTTCGGGAAGTTTGTGATCTTTACCCGGCTTGGGGATGGAAATTATTACGGCTTTTTTCCAAGCACGTGGAAAGTAGCAAATTCTGAGGGAGCAATTTATAATTTGTGTTAAGGAAAGTAGAATGTTATTCGGTAGAAATTTAAGAGCAGTGTTGGTGATGAGATCGTCACCAGGGGCTTTCTTTTTGCGGAGGTTGTTTATGATTTTTTTGGATTGTGCCAGGAGTGGTGAATAAATTAGATTTGGTGATATTTATGTTTCGAAGTGAGTTGGAGTGGGCAGAAACTTCTGGAAGGTAGGGACCAGGGTTTGGTTGGAATTGGAGTTCGAGAGAGTCGGCTATCAACTCGGCTCGATCGATGGCCTGAAAAACTAGACCGTTGGGACCGTTGTGTCGATGGTGTGAAAACGTCCGATATATAAGCAGTCTGCCGTACCGACTAGTAAACTATCCGCTGTCGCCGAATATAGTTGTGTTTACTAGTTGTACGGGAAGTCCTGTCGTTCATTCAATTTTGGGGTAGTTAGCTTGGGGAGGGTGTCGTTAGATTCGTCTGACTCTCCCCTATATGTAACTCCTATTGTTTTTGTTGTGCTGTTACTTGGGGCCTAGTTATTGTCCCTGACGTCAGTGTGTGTGGCTTGTGCTAGCATACTGTCCTCTGATTGGTGGTCCTGAAAAGGACCGTTTTTATGTGCTGACGGCTACTCCGTTACACCCATGATAACCATTATAAATTAATAAGTAGGTAATAATTAAATATTTTAAGTTAATAAGTTATAATTACTATAATAATTTGAAAATTTATCATATTACGATAGTTTATTGATCTCAATCCCAATTAAATCATAATCATATTATTGATATATTTATATATTTGTAGTTGTATATTGTAAATGGTTATTATGTTGACAACTAAATATTATTTCTAATGTCTTATTGATGATAATAGTAACATAAATGTCTATAATTTATTTTTCATGTGTTTAATAATTTTTAAGCCTATAGTAATATAAAAATTAACCACGCATAAACTTATTTGAATTTTTTATTTAGACTATTTAAAAAGTACGTAATTGTTGTGTTTTTTTATTGTATCACGATTTTGCGTAATGAAGTATAACCTTAAGTGATTTAAGTATAACACTTTAGCTATATAAGTATAACTTTCAGTCATCACAATATAATTATTTTTGTAATAATTTTTGTTTTTTTCACCATTATCATCTAAATTTTACAAAAAAAAGATACTATTTAACTGTACGGCCATTAATGTTATTATATATTTGTATACCCATTTGTATTTATAGTAATAAATAAATGAAGACTTTTAATTATAAACTATAATATTAATTATTCAATTTTAAAATAAAATGTCCACTATTGAAAATGTTGAATTAGGTATTTAGGTTGTATATGTACCTAGTAATTATTAATAACTTATTAACTATTATTGTAATTTTTGTAGAAGTTATTGGTACGTATATATTTATTTTTTTTTTTATTAGATGACCCGCCGCAACATGAGCCATTGGGTGGGGGTGAAACTGTGAGTTTTTGTATTGGATAGGTTTGGTACAAGTGTGTGTGTTGTGGCAGAATTTCTAGTGGGGCACCCGTAGGTTTCTGCCATGCCCCGGGTGGGGGATGGCGGCACTTGTTCTCCGGACACCGTGACTTGCCCAAAGAAAAATGCCGCCCAGTGGCCGAGAATCGAACCGGCGACGGCTGGGCCACAACCGACGCTTTAGACCGCTCGGCCACCTCGTCCCCTATTTATTATTTATTTATTTTATTCTGTGAGAGGTTTCAAGATTATATTTTAATATTAGTTATTACGTCAATTATAGTTTCAGTGTCCATTTGTGTATAAAAATGGACAGAATTATTACAATACATGTTGTTTGTAAAGTCCTAATTTAAGTACAATAATTTAATTTCCAAAAATTTCACTTGATAAATCGATGTTATATAATATAATGTTTCTATTTAGAATAGAAAAAAAGTTTGATTTCATAAACCAAAAATTAAATGCCCTTCAAATGTGGAGTGAACAAAATAATAAGGGTATTTTTAAATATGCACATAGTTTTATACTTAGTTAATATATAGGTACGCACACAGAGTTCATACATATGCATTAACTATAGAGAAAACCAAAGGGATCCATCACATTGAACACAACTATAAATGTCATGTTGTATCTAATTTTATTATTGATAACTTTGGAATATTGTATGCTTTTTTGCAGGTTATATTAGTAAGTATATTTTATTTTTATTGCCATATAATTTTACTTTCCCTTCGAATGTCTCGAGTCTTTCACTACACATTGGTTGTGACTTGAGAAGCTATAGCTGGTATTACTCTTGGAATCTGATTCGACTGTTAACGCTAATCTCAGACATAGGTAGCTAAAAATACATTTTTAATTTTTAAAATTCAAAAAATAAATATTTTCTAGAGTTGTCATCCATCTCGACAAACGAATAAGGTGGTGACTTCCGAGCTTCACATTTTTGCTGACTTTTTTTTAAAAATCTAGATTTTTATATTAAGAGGACTAATACATCGCACTATAATTCGATTTCTCTCACTGGCCCACGCGTGACATGAAGAAAACACATTTACGCAGAATCATTTTTTTTATGTTTTTAAGTATTCTTAGATTAAACTCAACCATAACAAAAACAATAGAGAATATGATTTTTGAGGGTATGACATATCGATTTGTCTAAATATTTTTTCAAAACAATTGAAACATAATTTAAATGAGCCTGCAAAATGTCTGTGTTTATTTTGGAACTTGAATACAAAGTCAAATAACAATAAAATATTAAATCGATATGTCTTACCTTCAAAAATATTATCCTCTATAGTTTTTGTAATATTTGATTTTACTCTAAGATAACTCAAAAATCACAAAAATAAAATGATTTTAGGTGAACGCGTTTTATCTATGTTGCGTCTGAGAGAGAAAATAGATATTGTTCTGACATCCTCTTAATTATGATATATAAATATGCATATAATTTATTTTATTTTATGAATCATTATTATTTACAGAACAAATGAGTACGTGTCATTTATTTATTTTAATACGTAATAAGTTGGTACATAATATAATTATTTTGCATGGAGCTTGTCTTTTCAGTTTTATGATTCTGACCAGACCTATAATGAAATTTAATAATGTTTGTGATTTTGATGAAGTTCCGGCAGAACTATTTGATACGTAAACATTTGAGACAGCCAAATGTGACACAAAATCAAGGCTAAACAACGTGTCGAAGGTAGTGTTTTCACTTGTCTCAATGTGAATGTGAAAACCAACCAACGGCCATAACAATGGTGGTATTTTATTACTTTATAGGAAACCCTTTTTTTGGAATATTTTTTTTTAGACTAGTTGATTATATTGAAAACGATGGTGAAGTCAGAATTTGGAGGTCAGACTTAGTTATAGCCTAAGGAAGTTTCGAAATCTACCTTCTAACGACCTTCGAGTTTATCGACGGACCTGTTGTCTACCTGAAAATAATTTAAAAAAAATAGTTATTGTGGCGATACCGGGGTCTTATCTCCACTCGCGCACCTCGCATCGTTATTACTTCTTCGCAGGCTTTTTGTTGTTCC